GGGCTTCCCTTGGTGTGACAGGAGCAAGACCTCACAGCTGGCTGGGCAGCACCCCCTTCTCGCACCTCGTGAGATTTCAGCTGCTGCCCATGACCCTGACAACCATTTTTTGGGTCTTTTTTTTGTCTTTTCTTACATTCTGGATCCGAGCCGTGCTTTGAGGAAGGGTATCAGAATTATCATGCCAAGGGAATCACAGTACCAGTCACCATGGGCTGTGCTGGAGCCTGTGCAAAGGGAACCTGCACTTCCCTTTGCAGCTGATGTTCCAGCCAAAGTGGCAGATCCTTTTTGTTTTTTATCTTTGAAGTGACTGCCTTCCTGAAGAAATGAAAGCATGACCTGACCCCTGGCTCCAGATCCCAGTTCTAACACTTTTATAGGTTTCCTGCCCTGCATAGCAAGGAGCACTTGACAAGAGGTGAAGCAGGTCTGTAGATCACCTGTCAGGTCTTCACCAGAGAGCCTCAGGCCACATCTTAGGAACTGCTGCTTTTAAAGAATTGTAATGCAAAAAGGAAGAGAAAGACATTATTTTCTGCAGAAGTGGGCCCTGGAGCAGAGCCAAGCTCCTATTATTCTATGTAATAAGAATAAGCAAACAGCAAAAATCCCGCAGGAAGGAGAGGCCACTAACCCACTGCAAGATCTGAGCCACCAACAGCGCTGACTTCTTCCTCTTTCCTCCAACTGAGGCTTTGGTTTCTGCTGGGTTCCCCTGCTGCTGCTGCTGCCCTCCCAGCAAGGGTGGCACACGAATTGTTCTGTGCTTCCTTCCATCCACCCTTCCGGTGGGCCCCTGAACTCAGCAGCTCCCTTTAGCCAGGCTACAGGCAGGAGGCTGAGCTTCTGGACTGTTCCAGTGCCCCTGAAGACAGAGCAGTGCCCACTGCAGGGCATCAGGGCTGCACAGGTGGCAGCAACTGAAGCAAATGTCTCCTTGTGCTGGAACATTCTGAGCATCATTTCTGGCAGGTTTTGGTCCAGGTCAGCAAGCCTGACCCCAAAGGCAGGCAACATTCCCAAACAGAAAGAAGTCCTTGGCAGAGCTGATTTCTTAGTGCAGACGTAGCTGGAGTGTCCTTGCTCCTCTCTATGCAGGACTGGGTGCTGGTTTCTGCACGATGCTTCTGCTGGGGCTCTCGGAGCGCCACGGTGGTTTATTCCCTTTATCCTGACACATGGGTCTGGAGAGGTTCTTTCCTCAGCTCTGCACACAGCAAAAGCGTTTCTCCAGCTCCTTTGCCTACCTTGCCTGCTCACGCCTCTCACCCATCACCTGCTGGGGCATCTGAAGGAGCACAGAGGGGTTCAGCCCAGCCCCACAGTCCCCTGCAGCCTCTGTGAGTCTGCCGCCAGTGCCTCACATCACGCCAAAACCCCAGGCAAGACCACTGGGAGAGAGATGCAGGTCCTTACCCAAAGTAGCTCAGCACAGCTCTACCAGAATTCCTGAAGCATTGCCAGCTTCATGCTTAGCGGATTTTCTCACCAGGCAGCACGAGCTGAGGGATATGGGTAGTGTCATGCTGCTGCAGATTGGAGAGAACATGGCTCCCAGTTTACTTCAGCCCCTGGTTTGCTGGTTATCTTGAGACCACTCCTGACAAGGCTCAGCCTCCAGGGATCTGAGACGGGGTCTAAAGTAAGACTGGGGGGTGGGAGGGTGGCTGCTGCTCACGGCAGCCTGTCACCAATTAGTGATGCCATGCAGAGGCAAGAAGCCTTTGGTGGAAACCACCCCCAGGACCTGGACTGGAAAGCTGGAATCAGGCACACATCAAGACAAAGATATGACATGGGGATTTGTCCATTCCTTGGTGCCCTCAGCTTAAGACGTCAAACCCTCCTGCACTGGTAAATCTCAGCTTCAGGAGTGAGGCAGTCACATCTGTGCTTAACTTCTGCTCTGCTGCCTGCAGAGGCTGCGAGTTTCACCAAGGGATGGGGAAGCCTCAAGCCACAGCGATGCTGCACCAGAGCCCACACCATCCATGTTGTCACTGCTGTTGTCCCCAGTAATCAGCACATACCAACACAAGGGTTGGCAGGGAGCCCAGCTGGAAAGGGCCAGAAGGGCTTTCTACCTGCTTGGCTCATCACAATCCGTCACTGGCTAGCTGCCCTGAGCCACAGGCTGCACACTGGCTCCCAACAGCTCCCTCAGTTTCTATTCCCCAGTCACATTCTTCCTTTCATTTTCCAGAGTTTTCTCTGTGACTATAAATAGCCTGGTGAGGGATTTGCTAGCTCTCGTGGAAGAAGAGGCAATAATCTCTTCCTGAAGGAAGTGGACAGGTCATCTGAAGGATCCTTCTAACCCAAGTGTAAATGATACCAAACAACGTGCCTGGGAGGAAACTGAGGCGGTGAGGGCAGAGGAAGCTGTGAAGAGCAGGGGTCCAGAGTGCTTTGTGCAGGGAATACAGCTGCTGCCATTAGTTAATTAATGCTTGGTGAGGGGCTGCCACTGCTGGGGATCCGTGGTGCTCCTGTCTGAGCACTGTTGAGCCACAGGCTTGCCACAAAACCAGGCCACAGGCTTGCCACAAAACCAGGCAGCATGCTGTGACCGGCTAAGCGTTGGGGGCCTATAAGGAGTGTTTAAGTGAGATGATTTACTACTTCTCATTTGCCAGCTCGGCACTGGAGATGACTGCCATCCCCTCCAGCCACCCAGAGGTCTGCATTCCAGAAACAAAGTCTTGCTCTGAAAAAGCTGTCCTTGTCCTCAGGTGAAGGTACCCACAGGATGGACTGGAGTCTGCATCCAGCATCTTTACCCTTGGCTGGCGTTAGGAGCTGCTGATCCTGAAGTGGCAGGGGTTATACCCTTTCACAGCACCTCTCCTCCACACAGGACAGACACAGCTGAGATGACACACTTTTCTTTTGACATTCCCTAATTGGCTTGATTTGTCCATATTAAACATTTACCATCCACAGTTAGCTCCTTCATTAGCTATGACACATCATGTTTAACCACACAGCAACATTGCACCAATGCCAGGGCCAGCAGCAAACACACAGCAAACTTCTGCACAAGGATAATACAGAGACCATGAAAATATCTGGGTCTGAATTAAAATTTAAACAAACCTGGAAATACTTCTGAGCTAGTAGAAGACCTTAGACAAGTGTGCACATCCCCATGCACAGCCTTCATCCCTGCCTCCTTTATTTCCACACAACATAATGGCTTGCCTGTGGACCTGGGCACTCGCAGAGAGGAATGAACACTCATTTGCTTTGCAAACCACAGCATAATTAATTCCCAGAAAAGTTTCTGGGCTTCACTCTGTGGCTGTAGAAATTCAAGGTGCTACCCAGGGTTAACCAGATACTTTTCCTGCACACCCAGGGTACTCAGTCCCACCAGCATAGGGATGGGTCTTCCAGGACCAGGGAGAAACCAGGCACGTCGGAAAGGAAAACCATTTCAGAAATGACAGAAAAAGCAAGATGAGGAGCACGTCGGGGTCCCTGCTACCCCCAGCCTCACCCTGAAGGAGCCTCAGGCTCATCACCCCCAGGGCTTTTCCCTGAGCGTTTCCTCAGTCTCCTCTCAACAGGGATGGGCACAATTTTTCCGGAGGCTGTTTTTGAAGGCAGTGTTTGCCATCTAGTGGGAAAACAGCGTCTGCGTATCTTACATGCAGAAGGATGCGGCTTGTGGTTATCTTGGCAGTAGCTGGGAGCACACGCCCCTTGCCCATAGCTGGGAGTTCCGGGGAGCAGGGAAATTGGAAGAGGTGGTGCTGGTTCAGCTTCCTTCAGGCAGCGAGCCAGGCTCTTTGCCGCTAGTCATGGATGCCCGAGTGTGGATCCCTAGCCCAAGCCCTTGGAGAGGACCCTGGCCGAGCTGCTGCCCAGTCTAAGTGGGGAGCTGCAAGAAGTGCTCTGCAGTAGGGGAAAAAGCACCTGGACAAATGTTCTGGACAAATGCTGCCTTTCAGGTCAGCAAACCCCTGGGAACTGGTGCCTTCCAGATTGGCATCCTCCCAGGCATCTCTTTTCCAGGTTAGTATCCTCCTGGGAATCGGTGCCCTCCAGGCAATCAGCACCTTCCAAGTCAGCATCCTCTCTGGCATCAGTGCCTCCCCGGTCAGCATATTGCTAGTGATCAGTACTTTACAGGTTAGCTTTCCCCTGGGAATCAGCGCCTTTAAGACCTGCAGATCATGCTGGGGATCAGCCATCATCCCAGGAGGGGATCTCAGACAGATCTGACACTTTGGGCATCTTACAACCTCCAGATCCATCAGCACAAAGGTGACTATGCCAGTGCCTGTGCCTAGAATTCATGTGGAGCTGAGCTGCTCCCACACCTGGTGGATCTCCCAGTGGAGAACAAAGGCTGGCAGTTGCTTGAATGTGATGTGACCCTGTAAAGCACACACAAGATTCCCAGAGGCACATTTAACTTGGGTCCATCATATTCAAGATGCAGAAAAAGGCACAGCTGTACAGAACTCTGTCTGCCCAGTGCCTGCTCCATGGAATCCTGGAAACATGAGGAGATCAGGAGTGCCCCAGCTGGTTCAGAAGTTCCTGCACAGGGCTGAGACATGCTGTCCATAACCTCTACTTGTTTATTCTGCCCATGCCAGCAAAGCAGCTGATGTGGCAGTGAATGAAGGGGAGGAAAAGGTGCAGCTGTTGGGAGGAGAGCAGGTAGAGTGGCTGCCTAGGGAAGCTCCCAAAGCATGTCCTACTCTGTTTTAGTCCCTGCAGCTGGAGGAGAAGATGGAGTTCCTGCCATGGGGAAGGGAGGAGATCCTCTCCTCTGAGCAAGTGACATGGCAGTATTGAGGAGGTGTAGTCCTCATGTTTCACAGCAGAAATGTGTGCATGGGGAGCACACAGCATGTGTCCCCTAGTGCCACCACACTCCAGGGCAGGAACACAAAACACTGGGAACTCTTGCTTGGACAACAGGACTACCTCCAGAGCTAAAAAAAAAAAAAAAAAGAAAAAAAAAAAAAAAGAAAAAGGAAAAAGCTAGCAGGAAAAACTGTGGGCTGCTGCTGCTGCTTGGAGCACGGTGTAGCCATTTCCCAAGAGCATCGTGAGCAGCAGTGTTTGGGCAGAACTGTGGTGCTGGCTGTTGCCTCCCAGCATCTCCGTGGCCAGGTGCTTGGCATTTCCCATCTGTGAAAGACCAAAACCATCCTAGAGGCAGGGAAGGGACCAGCCCCAGCAAGCAAAGAAAGAAACAACCCATTTCTGGAGGGAGAAGCTGACAATGCAGCAAGAGATGTCTTAGGTCTCTTCCTTCTCCACATTTGGCCTCGTGGGTAATGTCTCCTCTTCTGTTTCAGGAAAGAAGAACAAGGAATTTTCAGGCCTGTGGCAGCCAGAAAGGGAGGCAGATGAAGAAGAGGAAGTATGGGGGATCACACGGTTGAGTGCTTGGATCTCTAACAAGTTCCCAGGCAGAAGTATCCACATGCAGGTGAGATGAAAGCCATGGTCAGAGAGACTGCTTAGCACTACATTTTTAAAGTATTAATGTTTGGATGCATGGTGTCTCTGGGCATAGTCCCTCCTGTCCTACTCTCTTGATGTCTGAGCAGTGTGAGATAGAAGTGGCTCCTGAGGGGGATGCAATCCCTCTGGAGATGCCCACATTCTTCCCAGTACTCTGAGGTCCTGCACTCAATGACAGCTCAGGCTCTGTCTCCTCATGTCAGCTATGATGCTACATGAAGGCACATGAGGTGCACAGGTCACACCCAAGACTGGCTCCCAAATACAGTCCTTGCTCTCTGCCCATGGGCCTCTCATCCTTCTTCACAAGTCAGCCCCAGCAGAGTGAGCATCTTTGATGCTTAGGATGGTAACTGAGTGTCCAAACTACTTATCCATAAATTAATCTATAAATTCATCTATCCCTTCCTCTGACAAGTGATCCACATATTCATATATACATCTGCATGTCTCCTTCCCTCAATCCATGCATCCTTCCCTTCCTGCTGAACCACTGTGTATATACTCTTTGCTCTCTACATCACTTCATGACATATATAGATGTATGTTTCATGGCTATTCTGCTGAAGCTGCTTTTATTTCTTTCCTTGGCCCAGGATTTGGCACAGAAGGAAGCAGAAGCAGCCATGAGAGGTAAGTTGAGACTGTTTTGCTTCACAGTCCTGTGCAACTCGCCTCCTCCCCAGTAAAATGCAGGCTAATCCTGGCAGCAAGGCAGGGAGAGGAGGAGGCTAGTCCTGAGGGCTAGCTCAGAAATTTGGCAGGGTTGGTGGCAGTCAAACAGCCCAGGCAGCGCTGCACAACCGCCCACAACCAGTGCCCTACTGCAAAGGCTTTTGCCAAAGCTATGGATTTCCCAAACAAGCCCCTGCCTGAGACATGATCTACGCATGATGGAGACAATGGATATAGATGTCTCTGTCTTCAGTGCTGGGGACCTTCCCTGGGGTGTAGCACTGGTTGATGGAAATTTTTTTAAAATCAAGTATATCCCAGGCCATGTTCTCCTGCACTTTTTTTCCTGCTGGGCTTGGGCTGGCTCCTGTTCCATGCCAGGAAGCTGGACCCATCCCTGCCTCATGTGGATGCAATCCATGGGCTGCTTTGACCTGGCACATTCTCAGCATCTCCAGGCCTGGCTTATACCAGCTCCCCATGCGCTCTTGGCACAGCATTCACCCTGGGGAGGGTGGGATATGGCAGCAAAAGCAAGTTTGGATGTGCCTCTGCCTACTTGGGGCAGGGTGCGTCCAGGCAGGGCTCCAGCCTGCAGCAGGAAGCCTCCTGCTCACTCAGCAGCTGTGTGAGCCACTAGAGAGCCCAAGGCTGGAGGAAGTGCCCTGGCCCCACAGTGGGACAGGGAGGTGCCGGCACTGGGACTGGTCTCATGGTCCCTTCCTGTTTTTCTTCTCCATAGCTTGAAGACAAAGTTGATTTTGGCATCTGGATCCCTCTCCTTTATTCCAGATTGCTGCTCACCCCAGCCCTCCCCTTGCATCTTCTCAGCCTGCTGGAAAGCCCTGTTTGCCCACGTCCAGTGCCAGTGCAGCTTCCCCTTTGGCAACAGGGAGAGCAGCACCTAGCCCTAGGCATCTTTATTCCCCAAAGCACAGAATTTGCTGCTTTCTTTGGGTCCCCAAGACTTATGTGTCACATTTACAGGCTGCTGGGGCAGGGAGCTGGGCCATGGGGCATCCCAGCAGGAAGCCACAGTGCAGGCAGGCAGGATTTTGTGGTGGCATGCAGACTCCCTGCCTGTTCTTGGTATCTCCAGCTGCCAAATGGATGGCAGGTCATGACTCCTTACACCAGAGAGGAAAGGGGTCGCCCTCCAGGGCCATGGGCAGTAGGATGCAGCGATAAGGAGCAGATGTGCCTCTCCTGCCCTCAAGCTGCCCTGGTCACCTGGGTGTCCCTACTGCCTGGCCAGGCAAGCCCCAGCTAAGGAAGGGGACACAGGGCTTAGCACATGGGGACAACAGACTGATGGGTTCCTTAGCCAGCAGCAACGAACTTCTATTTGGAGCATTCCTGGACTTTCTGGAGTTTAAAAGCAGGCAGAATACAGAGGCCAAAGCTGCTGTCTCCCACTTTCTGGCTGCTAGGCTGCTACATCTCAAGCAGGCTCTAAACTAGGACCAGATGCTGGGATATTACTGAGTTTGCAAACACTGGAGTCACAGCTATGGCATCTACATCACCTGTGTTCCACAGCATCTCTGGACAACCACTGCCTTGGTCCCTTCCATAGTGGCAGAGGAGTGGGATCTGGTGGTGGTAAGAGGAGGTAAGGGCTGCCCATGCCATGCTGGGGACTGAGAAGAGACAAGGGTGACCAGGACAAGACAAGGGTGACTGTGTGACACGTCAGAATGTGTGCTGGTTGGGTTGAATGCTGGGGACCAGAGCCCAGCAGATGATGGCAGTGTGATGCAGCTGGAGCTGTCAACCTAAGGATACACCTGGGAGAAGTGATGTGGCTGCTGAGCCTGGAAGTCCAGACAAGATCCGGCTCCTTACACCTCCCCAGGTTGGTGACCTGCCTTACCTGCCCTGTGGAGAGCTGTGCTCTGGTCCAGGGGTAGTGCCATGCCAGTAGCAGACTGAAGATAGAGGGCTGAACCCCATCTCTCTCATGGGCTCATGAGGGAGAGTGAGGGACTGCAACCCCACAAAGCCAAGCATGGAGAGCCCTCGTGACCCCACAGCCAAGTGAGAGCAGCAGGGAGCCTGTGGGTACACAACACATTGGAAAAGGCACAGCCTGCCCCAGCTCCCTCCAAACCAGTCCGCACAAGGACCCTTTGTGGGTATCCCAGTCCAGGCTTCCTCTGCATCATGGTTCATGGGCAGACCCAGGACCCAGGGGGGTCCCCACCCTGCACTGGCTCTGCTCCCCGTGCTCCACGCGTTGTCGCTGTCTGAATTTCCACCCAGCTCCATCTGGATCTTGTTGGGCTGCTGGCACTGAGCACCGGGGTCGGGAGGTGCCAACACATGGAAGCCATTAGAGGGGCCGGGTCGAGGTGCAGCAAGGGGGCCACATGCAGAGCGAGGGGGGCTGTGCAGAGGGTCCTGTCTCAGATGTCATGCTCCCTCAGCCCCTCCAGGCACCTGGGGAGAGGGTTGAACAGTTTGGGAGGCAGCCCTGCTGCCTGTGCACCTCCTGCAGGGACCATTCCCAAGCTGGCACTCACCCCTCCCTTGGCCCAGCATCATCTGCACAGGGGTTTTGCCTGGACAGTGCCAATGACAGCATTGGCATATCCCCTTTATTGGCATCGCTGCTCCGTCCAGCCACAGCACGGGGGATTGGGGCAGGGGGAAGGGGCAGGGGGTGTTCTCTTGTTCTCTTCCGCCTGCTGGCGGCTGGTGGGGGGTGACAGGCAGGGGTCAGCACCCCTTGGTCTGGCACTGATGCCCAGCACCCCCGGAAGCCTACACCCATGGTCCCCCTCAACACTAGGCAGTGAAGTGGGGCTGGCTTGTCACCCTGAGCCTCAAGTGACTCCAGCTGGCTCCTGGTGGGCTCAGGCAGTCCAACGCTCCTGAGAGCAGAGCCTCTCTCCTTAGGATCCATCNCTGGCGGCTGGTGGGGGGTGACAGGCAGGGGTCAGCACCCCTTGGTCTGGCACTGATGCCCAGCACCCCCGGAAGCCTACACCCATGGTCCCCCTTTTAGCAGCGCTCGGAGGTGGAGCTGGCCTGTCACCCTGAGCCTCAAGTGACTCCAGCTGGCTCCTGGTGGGCTCAGGCAGTCCAACGCTCCTGAGAGCAGAGCCTCTCTCCTTAGGATCCATCCTGCAACCCCAGGGTGTTGGGGGCTCCGGCAATGTCCACAGCTGTGGGGTGACCCAGGAGGCGTGGGGTCCTTGGGGGCCAGCAGTGGCATCAAGTCCCACGCGTGGGCAAGCGGGTGCAGGGAGCAGGGATCGGCCAGGGCTCACTACAGGATCTGAGCTTCTGCCGAGAGAGAGGACAGGGGGTCAGGGGGGACACTAAACACACTGATCTGCCCCATGCTCCGCATTCCCTGCCCCATATTCCCCCCCATTCCCCACCCTGCACCCTGACTCACTTGGTAGTGCCTTCAAGTGGGTGGCAGCAACCAAAAAGTTAGGTTTGGTCTTGTCCTTGCCGTGTTTCCTCACCCGGAGCCTGGGGATGAGAGCAATGGTGGCTGAAGACGCCAAGCAGCCTCCCTGAGCATCAGGACTGCCCACATTCCCAGTGATCCTGCTGTGTTCCCATCCAGCTGTGCCCAGCTGTACCCAGTACCCTCCAGTGGATCAGCTCCAGGGCTACAGCAGGAACTGGCCACCAGATAGAACAGGATTGGGATGGGAACAGGGACTGACAGCAGAGCCAGAGCACGGCAGGGAGATCCCATGGTGGGAGGATGAGAGGGGACCTGGGGACAGGATTTCTAGGGAGCAAAGCCACATGGAGGGATGTCTGTGCTGACTCTGGAGCGTGAGACTCCCCAGCAGGAGCCTTTGGGAGGATTAGAAGGAGCAGAATTCTTAAGGGAATTCAAATAAAGGTCACTTGGATCTGGGGTCGTTAGAAAGAGCACAGGCAGGCTGGGTAGTAATGGGTGTGCTGGCACTGGTGTGGCACAGGGGCAAGGGGAGCATAAACCACCCAACGGGGCATCAAGTGTGTTTTGGCAGGGACCCCAGAGTAGGACTGGGGGATCACAGGACACTCCATGCTGAGGGTTCAGGATGGCAATCATACGGCCCCTCCTTCTCAAAACCCAGCCTACCAGATGAGGATGGTGATGACAAGAACAGCAGCCAGGATGAAGAAGGCAAAGATCCCAAGGGACACCAGGACAGCCATCTTCTCCAAGGGGTCACTGCGATCTGGGACAGAGAGACTCTCACAGCTGAGGGATGCCACAGTCCCCAGCATCTGGGGACCCTATGGCAAGCTCCTGGACACTCCAACAGCCCAGCCACACACATGCTTGGGGTAAGAGACCCTTCCCATTGCTCTCAGCCATACACATGGCACTCCTGCCCACCACCCCGAGGCTCTACTCACTGATGGGCTCAGGGTTGGGAGCCTGGGAGGGCTCCTCAGCCAGGCTCTCCAGTCTGGCGTCTGTAGTGGTTTCTTCACTTGCTGTGGAGGCCAGGTCTGGAAGGACAGAAGGGACGGAAACACTCACCAAAAGCATATGAAGCACCCCAGAGACCCACAGAGAGGAGTGTGGACGGGTATATTTGCTCCCCAGAGGTCCCACGAGTTCGAGGGTACCACTGAGGTGCTAATGGCGCTTTGGAAGCCCCGCTCTGTCCCAAGCCTGTGGGGGGCAATCCCCAAATGGCATCAGCACAGCTGCAGACTGACATGGGCTGGGAGATGTTTTGTCCTCCTGCAGCTCTGCCTCCCAACCTTAAGTGGCCCGAGTTGAGACTCACCCGGGTTGATACTCGGAGGAATGAGTGCCATGGGGAAGGGACTGAAGAGGGGCAGTTCAAGGGGACTTTGGGGAGGGATGGCATAACATGGTAGGCTGCTGCTGGCTCTGTCCCCCTCTCACCTCTGACTGGTGTTGCTCGGGCCTCAGCACTCCACTCGCTCCAATTCCCCGCATCCAGGAAATCCTTGGCACTGACTTGGACCACGTGCTCCAGCCCAGCAAAGGCATCCGTGATAACCTCAGACAGATTCACCGTCTCTACCTGCGCCAGGCAGAGGGGAGCTGTGGGGCAGGCAGGGCCATCCCTCACTACCCTCCCTGGCCCCATGCACACTCTGTTCCTGTGCTGGCCCCGCCTTTCCTTGCACACTTACCACGGACCAGGAACGGTGGATGACGGGTCGGTACTGGAGCCGAAACCTCAGCTGGAAGTGGGGTTCCTTTGGCCAGGAGGAAGGGTACTTCCAGCTCACATGGAGTCGCCGTGGGGCCAGGGGGATGGGCTCCACCACTAAGCCCTCTGGAGGGTCTGGCTTAACTGTGTGGGAAAGGACAGCAAGCCCCCTTGTCACCCCACACTGCTGTGACAGGGGTGTAGGGATCCCTGCCGCCATCCCCAGGAAACTGCCCAGGGATGGGCAAACAGTGGGACAGGCAGACAGGCGGATGGGGACTCACTGATGGCCTGCATGGTGACATCAAGAAGGCGGTAGCTGAAGCCCAGGGGGTTCACCTCGGTGATGTTCAGGCGGTAGGAGCTCCAGAACTCGGACCTATGGACAGTGCAGGTGCCGGGGCGGGACGGATCCTGCAGGCACAGCCCAGCGTGCCCGTTCTTGTTCCTGCAGACAGGGAGGCAGGGTGGGGACACATCCTACCAGCCCACCACGCACAATTCCCAAATGCTGCCAAGGAGGTGCCAAGGGAGACCCCCATGCCAAGACCCTAGTGGAGGAGGCAGCCCCTCTGGTTCAGCTGCACTCACCCTTCCAGAGTCTGGCATATCCCTTTGAGCATGACAGAAGGGACCCTCATCCCAGCTCCACACTGCCTGGGAAGGTCTTTCCCTGAGGCAAACCCTTCTCCCAGACTCCCAGGGTAGCTGGGAAGTAGCTGGCTCCCTGATGGGGATCCCAGCTCTTGCTTTGGGGTCCCTGCTGCAGACAGCAGCAAAGCCTTTGGGATGGGAGCCAGTGCTTAGGGAGCAGGAGCAGGGTGGGAGTCCTACCTCCGCTTTTCTTCGCCTGTCAGGGATTTCTTCCTGCCATGGAGACAGATGGAAAAGCAGATGATTAGGATGAGGGGGCAGCACAAAGTGAATCCCACCATGACCCAGAGGAGGGAGAGTAGTCCACACTGCAAAGCAGCCCCACGCTCCCACGCTGACACATGTGACAGTGTGGGGGACAGAGCTAAAGCCACGTCCAACTCTTCTAGTGAACAGCCTGGCAGCCATGAGCTGGGGATCCCAGGGAAAAGAAATAGGACACCCTTCCCTGCCTGGGGGACAGCAGCAAAGACACAGAGACACTGATAAAAGCAGTTCTCCAGAGCCTGGCTTCACCCTCCCCCTAAAGCCCCCCAAAAACCATGCTTCCACTCCCCCTCCCTATGGAGCCCCTGATGCTCCACTCAGGCCCCTCCCCACCAAGCTCCTGCAGCTTTCAGCAGGGCTGTGTTTTATGAGCTCCATTGGACTTCAAAGCCGCCCGCTAATTTGGCTTGCAGGGATAATTAGAAGCAGCAATGCTGTCAGGGCTCCTTTCATCCCAAAGCATGCCAGAGCGTGGAGGCTTGCAGATGACCTGCTTCTCTTTTATTGCCCCTCTGGTGCTGGCAGAGCTGTCAGCAGGGAAAGAGCCTGCTTGTGCCAGCCCCCCAGTGCTGCTAAAATCCCCACTGAAAGCAAGCAAATGCTTCGTGCTCTGCTCACTCCAAAACAGGACCTGCTCTGGGGTGCAGCATGGTCCTTGGGGCAGGAGGTGAACCCAGGGCATGTGTGGAATGGCCAGATGGACTTGGCTGTGACCCATAACAAGCCCAATCCACGCCCTACGGGGATACTTCACCTGTATGTGGTGATGTATCTGGTGGGGAGGAAGGTCTCCACACTGGAGGTCCAGGAGCAAGAGAAATTCTCATAGTCAGATGCTCTGCAGGACACAAAAGGAACTCCAGGCAGGTCTGGGGTCGGGGGGAAACAGCAGTCAGCAATGAGTCCCCCATCCCACAGCCCATCCAGCACACAGGGATGCCTGTGTCAACCCCAAGCCCCCTTTTGGGAAGCCCCTGGCAGGGGTGTAGGCACCACACTCCCCCTAGAACAGTCCAGCTCACAGACATTGCTACTCACGCCCTAGACGCAGGGACACAGTGTGCAGGAGGCCACCATCCTCGCCATGACAGCTGTATGTTCCCATGAAGGCCAAGCTGGCCCTTGGCAGCACCAGGGATCCCTGCTGGATGGCTGAGCCCTCTGGCAGCGCCGTGGCACCTGCTCGTCTCCACTGCACTGGTGAGCTGAGCAGGAGAGACCAGGCAGGCTGCATTAGAGGATAGGGATGCACAGGCCCACCCTGTAAACCATCCCATTGGATAGATCCCTTGATGTGCATGGAAAAGACTTACCTGGCACGGACACCAGGGCATGACAGTGTCACGTCTGTCCCCAGCTGTCCATACTGCACACCTGGAGGGACACACATCCCAGACGGGTGTTAGCACTCCATGCCACCCCACACCAGGGCTAGGGGTGCAGGTGGGGAGTCTCTGGGGCTGTACCCCACAGTGGGTGGGCATCAGCTATGGGGTCTTGCAGGTACCACCATATGCAAGGCGGTGGACTAGTAAGGACTCATCCCAGTTGGGGCTGGGCAATGAGCAGAAACACGGGTTGGCCATCACTTAGGATGTAGGGCTGTGTTTCACGTAGCCCTGGGTGGTCTGTTCCTGTCTGGGGGAAATGGGGTGTCCTCAGGGTCCTCATGCCTGGGACATGGCAGAAGGGGGGGTGGTTTATGGAGGAGCTTGGTGGGGGCCTCACCTTCCTCTCCCCAGTCTTCAGGGATAGCAAAGGAGGCTGATGCCAGGGCTGCTGCGAGGAACACCATCACCCTGCCCAGGCCTGGGATGGAACTGCGCATCTGGAGGAGGCAGAGAAGGGCAGGAGAGAGTGTTATTCCCTGCAGTGGGGCAGCCGATATCGTCCACAGCCCACAGCATTCCTGCAGGGCCATGGATCCTGCATCTACCTCTCATCTCATCCCATCCTGCTGGGGACAGAAGAGGGACTGAATCCCGGGATCCCAGCTGGCACATCTGTCTGTCAGAGTTACAGCTGGTTCCTGGCTGCTCAGCAGTCCCCATGCCTGGAGTAGGGGGAAAACACTGACCAGGAGCTTGGGGCTGTGTGGGATGGAAGGATTAAAGGTTCTTTGCCATTGCAATGCTGCGCTGGGAGCCTTGGCTGGCTCCCAACCCCAGGGTGGTCCAGAGACCTGTGCATGTGCAGCTGGGGTGGGAAGGGACCAAGGAGAAATTCTGGCCTGTATTTCCATGGCAGGTGACAGCAATCAGATCTAAACAGGCTCACACAGCAAGGGAGAGCAGGTTTGTGATAGCTCAGGTTGTACCAAGTCTCACATTGCTGCTCATGCCTGCACCCACTGTGAGGCTGGTCCAGGTAAGTCTCCACTTGTGAGAGAATGGTGCTGAAATCCCTTCCTCCCACTCAGTGATCACCAGAGAGAGGGGCAGGGGATGCAGAGTCAGGGATGTACACCCAGCTCTTCATGGGTCAACCCCTGCCATGGACTGGAGCTTCCCTGCCAGCATCACTCTTTCCATCCCAAGCTACACCACTGTGGGCACATCAGCTGGTGTCACGCTGGCCAACACAGCCAGCATTGCCCTGTCCTGCCCTACCACCATCACCCTGTCCATCACAGCCAGCAGTATTCTATGATACCCACCCCAGTCAGCACCTTTCTGTGCCAGCCAGCGCCTTTCTGTGCCAGCCAGCACGACCCTAAAGCATCTGGATCCACCTTCAGAGTCCTGCATCAGCAGGACATAGCACCCTGTCCATCCCAGCCCCACTACCCTGTCTGGGCCAGAAAACACGGCTCCAGGGCATTCATCTGGCCAGCATCACACTATCCCTACCAGGAGTGCCACATGGTCTTTGTCAATCAGAAATTAATAATTTCTCCCTAGAAGACCCCCTGCCCACCTCTCACAACTGGACAGGCCTGTTTATTTATACCCACACTGCTGGGCTCTGCTCCCGACTGCAGATAAGAGCTGAAGGCACATAAGGCAGTGAGCTCCCTGCCAGCCCCAAGAGCAGGCATAAATCTGTGTCCCCATGGGTTCAACAGCTGAGAGACTGGAGAGAGGGATGCTCTAGCCCAGCAAAGGCACCCCAGAGCAGCAGCCAGCTCCCCTCCTGTGGCCGAGTGCCCATGGCCACAGACCAAACCGCCTGGCAAAGGAAACAAGAGCTACAAGGCAATCTGCTGCAGGGGGGAAGGCGTGCGGCACCCCACATCAACCCTGCTCTGAGCATGCCAGACAGCCTCAAACACAAGCCCCAAATGTAAATAATTTAATGAGACTGTCATAAGCTTTTCCTACCAAACCACCCTAGAAATGTTCCCAAGAAATATCAGTCAAAAAGTCTCTGCCAAAACTATGCTGGTAAGTAACTGGGAACATTTGGCCTGAAAGTAAAATATTTTGGTGATGGAAAGAAAAAAAAAAAGAAGACAAAAATGAGTGTATTTTGTCTTAGAAGCAGCAACCAAAAATAACTCCAAAAACCACGTGGGCTAGAGTGAAGGAATAGTTCTGGAGGGAGGAGGACGGGGGGGTGGGTGTATGTGCGTGTGTGTGTGTCAGGAAGAAGGGAGTGTGTGTTAATATACAGAGAGAGAAACAGCTCTAAAATAAAATAATTTCTTCTCCTGACCACCCTGGTTTTTCATTCAAACACTGCAGAGGGTATCCAGCCTGCTTCCATAATGACCCGAGTGGTTAAGTCTAGTTGGAAACCACTAACCTAGACCCTAACCCTATTGATTCCTAAGTCTAACCCTAAACCTAACCCTAACGCTGCTCATCCTAATGACCGGTCCACATTCTTCATCACCCTTTATCCCAGGGTCCTCCCAGAGCTCCCCATCCTCACCCCATAAGCTCCCCTGCCCCAGAGGAGCACCCCTGCCAGCACAGCGTGAGAAGGCAGCACCGAGCCCCTCCAGACACACACTGACTCAGTAAATGACCCACATGAGCACTGCCAAAAACTATCCCTGGGGATGAAGCATCACTGCAGAGAGAAGCACCAAGGCAAGCCCTTCCTTGCCTGCCCAAAGGCCACAAACAAAAGGGGAAAGAGCCACAGAGCTGGAGAAGACCCAGAGCCCTTGCCTGCCCCAGGTGCAGAAGCAGGGCAGGGGGCCAAGTGCTACAAGACAGCCTGCCCAGAAAGGATCCCCTTACTTTCTGCCACTAAACTCCTTGGCCAAGGGAAAAACAGGCGTGCAAATGAACACAAGTGTGTGAGTGGCCAAGCCTACCTTCCTTGGTGGCTCCACACCCCCACAGATGGGCACACAGGCAGAGAAAACATCCCTTGATGCTTGCACCAGCAGTGACACATTCTGGGGACACAGAGTCCCAGCACAGTGATCCTGGAGCCAAGCCGGGACAGAGGGAACAATCAGAGCTTTTCTTCCTCCCTTCATGCTAATCCTGGCCAGAGAGACGCCTGCCGCCAGCCCAGGGCTGGGTGACATCCCATTCCAGAGCCAGGACAGAGGGACCCAGCTCAGCCTGGGGGTGTGGTTTGGTCCTCGTACGAAGGGCAGCAGTGCTGGATCCTGCTCCCTCAGCACGGGATGCTGTTTTCACTGGCATGGCCAGGCTGACCAGGCAGCCTCTGTCACCCATGGAGCCCGAAATGCAAGGTGTCAACTCTCCATCCCTCCCCGATCCTGCTGTTCTGCTCGGCTCGTCATTATTTGAGCTCATGCAAGAGTTTTCGGGCAGTGGTGGGGAGAAATCCTGACATAAGCTCCTTTCTGCACGCAAACCGAAGTGCTGTAAGCCAAAACTTCCCTCAAAATCGTGGCCATGTGCACCGGCACCAATGTCCATGCTCGGTGTGACAGCTCCCTCGGCACAGCTGCTCTGTGCTATGCCCTGCCGTGGCCTGGCAAAGCCCAGCACAGATTCCTGGGGGAAGCCAACTTTCCATTGTGCTCGGTGCTTTGAAAGACATTGGGTTTTGTTTTCTTACTGTTGGGTTTTTGTTTTGCTTCATTTGAAGTTGCTCTTCAAAGCAAATGGGCTGCACACAGAGCTGGGGTGGTGGGGACAGGGACGGGAGCAGATGACACTGTGCCTCAAGGCTGCAGATGGCAGCGTGGAGACGTGGGATGCTCCCCACCGAGCACAAAAAGCTGGGGTGCCTCTTAACCTCTTCCTAGAGTGGTCAGGGGCAGCATCGCTAAAACAGAGACATGGTGAACAACCATGCATGCTGCACTTGGCAGCTCTGCCTACCCTGTGCCAGGCCCTGATGGAGTCACCCACCTGCCAAAAGCAACGGGCAGAGGCCCAAAGTTGGCTCTAATGCCCGAGAGATGGCACCACCCCGAGCATCCCCTGAGGTGTGGGAGCATCCCTGTCCCTGTGCTACAAACCCTCCTCTCTGCCAGTGACTGCTGTCGGAAAAACGTCCTATGCTGAAACGTGGAATACTGCAGGAATTCCCCTCTCCTTGTTTCCCTGTGGGGAAATGTGCCTTGGGAGTAGTGCCTTGCTAATCCCTCTGCACCTGACAGGCCCGCAGAAGCACCATGCCTTGCTCTGAGGTGCTATAGCATGGTTTGAGTACATCCCTGTGGCCACTGATCTGCCTGCGCCCTGGAATTACCCATCCCTGCAGCACTGTTGACTTTCATCATCACTGCACAAACGTGTGCCTGTGAGGGGAGCATCAGCTCCACTGCTGAATGCTCCCCTGCAACAGCCACCCCATCTCCTAAATGCTGCTGGCACCCTCCCTGGGAGCCCGGAGAAAGCCCAGCAGTGGGTGCTGGAGAGAAGCATGTCCCCACCACCACCACGGACACGCACAATCTCCAGGACTACAAGCAGCACCTGAGGCAATACCTTGCTCACCTTGGGCACTGCGGGAAGATGCTCTGAACACTGTCCCCAGTCCTTTCCCCCACCCAGTGTCCTGGGGACCACAAAAAAGGCTGTTTTACTCTGCATCACTTTGTTGGGGTGCATGGACCCCTACGCCTGCTGTGAGAGGGTTCCACGCCATGCTGGGCTGTGCCAGAACACACACCTGCACAGCTGCAGCCAGTGCAATCCCAGTGCACTGGAATTACCCCAGTTAAACCCGTAAAACCAGTTGGAGTCTTTCCCTGTGAGGCCAGCGCAGTCCAACAAGACCTGTGCACAGTCTGAACACAGGACTAATCCCAGTACAGTCCTGATGCAGGGATTAACTCAGGGCAACCCAAATACTGGGACAAGCCCAGAAGGAGAACTAAATTCCACCCAGCCCAGGAGGAGAATTAAATCCAGTGCAGTCTAAATGTGTGGTTAAACTCAGCACAGCCCATGTGTGGGGCTAAACCCAGCTCAGCCAAAATGTGAGGCTGGACCTAGCACAGGTCAAACATGTGGTTATGCCATGCTAATGTGGGATTAAACTCGGCATAGCTCAGGACTGGGGTTAAACCACAGCTCAGTTCAAACACAGGGTTAATCCTCAGCAGCCCCTGTCATGGAGTTACACAGTTCAAATGTGGGGCTAAACCAAATGCAACCCTGGTGTGGGGTTAACCCCAGCTCAGCCCAATCACAAGGACGACCCCAGCATCATCCAGAGAACCAGTTACCTCCACAGCCAGACAAAACATACATCTCCATCCAAACTATACCGACCCCCTCCAACATCCATTGGTGATACCCAGCTGACCACAGCTCCACCGGTGTCCAAAGCCAAGCCCAAACCCCTCCATAACCCAAGGGTCACCTCTCTCCTCTGTGGAGCCAGCAGCTGCCAGCAGCTCCTGGTGCTTGGCCTGGGGGGCCCCCACACACCTCAGCATGTCAGCAG